GTAAGTATGTCATATTATTATTCTTAGCCACAGTGGCTGTCTTTTTGTTGGCGGGTGCTCTGGTGTGGTTTGCTCCTTCTTTCCTATCACACATCTATCATCCTTATCTTCCCTCCTTTTTATGTTTGTTACTCTATTGTAACACCTCTAATCTTCGGCACTTATATGATATTATTGTGTTGCAAGCGCCGTAAAACACTTACTAAAACTAAAACTAAAAACTGTCCTTTTGTGTATGTGCTGTGTTCTTTGTCGGGTAACGAGGGTGGCGTCGGTAGCCTAGTGTTTAGGCTATCGGACCCGTAATTGTGAGATTGCACGGGTCTGGGGTTCGAGCCTCAGCTCGGTCCGACGTTGTGTCCTTGGGAAAGGCACTTTACACGAACTTCCCACTTGGCTCGGTCCTATCGGAGACGGACGTTAAATCAGGAGGTCCCGCCTCTTAAATAACCAAAATATCGAAAAATCAGCTTTTAAATGGGAAGTGTTGTATTCTTACCATCTACAACAAGACGTGAAATCGATAGTCCAGTGGTTAGGGATAGGGCTACCGGACCGGTAATTATTGCGAGATTGAGGGATCGTGGTTCGAAACCAACAGATATTAGATCTATTATTATTATTCACACTGTACGTTCTGTTTATGCATAAAACAAATAGTACCAATGTGGCATATAATTTTCATAATTTTATTATGTACTCGTATCACATGGCATGTTTGTCGTCTAGTGACAATATATGGTCGTTTTTAAGGACAAGCAGGCTAACCCAGATGTCGGGGGTTTCCAGAAATATCGACCTAAAACAAAAGTGGGCATTGCCCTACCTATAGGAGAAGTTTGGTTTCTTTTAGTGTATATGTGTTTGGTTATAGAGAAAACACTTCTTGTCTTTAAAAGAAAGTGAACAAAGGGCAAAAACCGTACCTTCGGTTTTCTCAAAACAGCATTTTTTGGGATAGCCCCCTTGTGCTTAAAGGCGACCATAGATAAACTGCTGTAGGCTGATAAACGCCCTTTTCATTTTTGGGGCCGATTTAAAAAATCTTATTAGCTAAATCGAAAGCATGGTCATTTACCCTACTTGTGTGAATAAAAAATTCAAAGTGAAACTGTGACTAGCTTTTCCAATTTTCTAATTTTGGAAGAATGCCTTTTTTAATAGTTACGCTGACAAAAAGCCTCTTTATCTTGAAACTGCAGTGAATTAAAAAAGGGTTTTTTATCAGTTGACGGCCCTAGATGATTGGGGGTGGCAGTGATAGGTGCTTAGATGGAGAAAATGAAAAGTAGAAAGATAGGAAGAAAAAATAAAAACAGAAAACGAATGCAAAGGGATAGGAGAAAAGAAATTACGAAAGAAAAGAAAAGAGAAAAAGAAAGAAAATCGTTGCCTTTCTCACAAACTCTAAGAGTTAAATTTGAAGTAAAGACCTCCCAAAAAATGAAAGATAGAAAGAAGAAAGAATGGAAAAGAATGGAAAGGTATTGTCTTCGTTACAAGTACTTTGGGTTACATTTGGAGTCATTGTAATTCTAATGAGTGTGAAAGTTTGCGTCAGTCCTTTTATTCCTTCTTCGTTTTTGTCTTTGAACATTATGTACAACGTACTTCTAACGGGTGTGGTGGCGGTGCAGTGGCGGAGCGGTGGCGGAGCGGTGGCGGAGCGGTGGCGGAGCGGTTAGTGCGTTCGTCTCCGAAGCGGAAAGTCCGGGATTGAGCCTCAGTTCGGACACGAATTTTTTTTCACCCCCTCCTGCCCACCCAGCAGTAATGGGTACCTGAATTCGAGTTAGGGAAGTAAAGGCGGTGTGGAAAGGAACTGACCACCCTACCACAATATGACGAAGGCCCAGAAAGTTGTCTCACTAACAAGGCGATCCCCAATGTCGGGGTAGGATACGGGAACATCTTTACTTTTTTACTCCTAACGGTGGCCTAGTGGTTAGGCTCTCAGACCCGTAACCGTAAGGTCGTGGGTCCGAATCCCGTTTGAGGGCCGACGTTGTGTCCCTGTGAAGACACTTTACACGAATTTCCCTCACTTCATCCTGGTTGGAATGGGTACCCAGCTATTGACAGTGAAAGATCGTGTCTGTTTGTTTGTGTTTGAGCGCTTAATCAGCTACTTTCACATGCTTCCCGGGAAACTGAGAGTTTTACTGAGTGTTCTATGGTCTGCTAGGGTAATACTTTTGTGTAAAGCGCAAAGAGCTTGCTTTCGAGTGGGAACATGGGCTATACAAATGCTATTTATTATTACAACAATTAGTATACTGGTGAGCAAAAGAAAGTGGGCAGTTTTCAAATCAGTGCTGTATGAGTCGTCTCACGAATATTGACTTGGCAATTGACATGCTGAGCTTGAGTCACTTTAGAAAATCGGTTAGAACAACATTTGTTTAATTTTTTTGTTAAAGAACATAGAGTTACCTCCTTTTAAACTAGAGTCCGTACGAGGTTACGTGACACGGACACATTTGAGTTTGTTGGCGGCCATTTTTAATGTGGCTAAAAAGTTTGTTTACATGTGAGTGGGCGTGTCTCTGCTCTTAGTCTTACGTGTTTTGTTTGATTCTAACGTTATGTTTTGATTCAAAGAGATTCTCTTAAAGGTGCAAGCATGTGAAACCTCTTGTCCCTTTCTGGATTAACGTCTTACTGGTTCTGTCAGGCAGTTCAGTGATGTCTGTTTTCTTTTACTACATCATCTATTTTTAGTGCATAATATGTCTTATAGACACAAATAGTCACTCCGGGTTTCTTTTTTAAAACATAAAGAGCCATCAATAAGGTTCTGGGCCATGTGAAGTTAAAGTTGACTAGCAGCTAGATCTTTTTCACAATGGGCAGGAAATTTCTTTATCAAACTGAAACAGTGTACTTTTTATTGTTTTGTTTTATTGAATGTTGTCCAAAAACACCTTAGTGAAGGTTTTTGTTTCAGTTATCACTACACTGAGTAGAAAAACAATTGACTAGGCTACAAAACGACGTTTAAGTTCACTTTTTAAAAATCTTTAGTGAGTCCAGAGTTGTCACAGTTGCTTTACTAATGTCAAAAATTAGACTTACTTAAAACAGCAATAGGAGGAGCTTTAGTTTAAGTGCTGTATATGTGAGGTGTGCTGACAAAATGAGTTACTTCTCGCTGACCAAGAATGGAGATATCGGCCCAAAATCGACACTGCGGTCAGATTTATAGATATCTAATTGATGCCATTTTTGTTCAAGTCTACCGTGTCTTTCATCATTCCATACTTACAAATTGTACAAACTTCACCTATAAAGTTGATGTATCAATTTCCATAAAGCTAAAATCGGAGAAGTAACTCATTTTGTCTGCACACCTCACATATGGTCTTCTTTAGTTCTTAAAATCAATATAAACCAAAGTTTAATACCGACATAAGAAAACACTACTTATAATTTAGTATACTTTAAAAAAAAGTGAACATATGAATGTAAAATACAGTTTCCTGTTCAAATGTCACAAGGGAAAGTTTAACTCGATTTTAAAAATACCAGTACATGTATTCATCATTTGTTTGGCTGAATTTGCTTTATCAAGAGCTTCATTGCATTCCTACACCTAAAGGCTGAATAACTCTGGAATTTTTTTTTCCTATGGCTCATCCTCATTTAATTTAATGGCAAACTCATATATCTGAGGGAGGCCGGGGGGGGGGGGGGGGTGTTGGTATTGGGATTCGGGAGGAGAGAGAGGGTGGGGTGGTTATAGGAGGTTCCCATGACACCCACATCTTTTCATACTTCTTTTAAAAAGTTCTATAGGCCCTATGCGCTTTGATTCGGTCAATAAGAAATAAACCACCTCGTAGATAAAGTGCTGATGAACAAATAAAGGTTGGGTTTTTTTTCTTCTTTTTTTTAAAGCCCATATCTCTATCTCTATCTATTTAATATTACATTAATTTGTAGATCTAGTTGTAGAAAGAACGCCGTATTATTACAATTTAGTAATTTAGATATAGTACGCCACGGCGCCTATGTAAAAAACAACCCAACAACAACAAGGACCAAGCCTCGCCTATCGCGTATGAGAGAGAGAGAAAACATGCCTAGCCCATTGCTTTAGCATGAACTCCTTCACACAACTTGCCACAAAAAACATGGCGGACGCCGCTGTCAAATGTGGCCATCGCGCAGCAAGGCGAGAGAGGGGCGTACTGTATCTAGTACTATAGTGTACATCTATGTTAAAGAACGTGTTTACAAAACGTTTGGCCAAAAACGTTGTCTCGTTTTTTTCTTGAACGTTTACAATGCTGTTGCTTTTATCCTTTTCTCACTACACACTTCAACGTGTCAGCGAAAGGGCTGTCAAAACTTTTGGGTTTGTTCTTTTTAATTTTGTTTTATACGATACCTCGTCTCAGTGATGCGCAACGTCAAGAAGCTCTTGGCATGCTGAGAGCCAATGCGACGGTTTCCGCAGTCGCTAAAGCTTTCAATGGGAAGAGAGATACTATCCAAAAGCTTAGGATACAATTCCAAGCAAGTGGTTCGATTAGTGACGCTCCAAGGTCTGGTCATCCTCGTGTCACTACTGCTGTTGAAGACAATCGGATCAGAGTTTTCTGGCGAGTCCAGATTTCTCTTGGATCACCACCATGGAAGGTATTAAGTCTACCATAGACGTCATGAACGTTATGTACCTCAGTGTGTAAGTGCTGTTGCTGACAAACATGGCATTATGGTATGTGGGGGGGGGGGGGCATAACCAGTATTGATAAATTCAATCTAGTCGTTATCGACGGTAATCTAACAGCCAAGAAATACATCAATGACGTTCTCCATCTACACCTTCTGCCGTTTCTGGCTCGCCTCAGGAACAATCTCGTGTTCCAGAATGATATTGCACCAGCACACAGTGCCTTTGTTAGTTGGGAGATTTTTACAACAAAAGTGACGTACGAGATATGACACTGTGGCCCCTGATTTAAACGTGATTGAGCACCTCTGGGACAAGATGGACA